CCTTTAAGAAAATAAAACTCAAAAGGCTATTGTTTCTGCTAGCAGTATCTCACACATCATAAAACCACAGTGATAAGCATTTCTTCCAAATACCTCACGTTTCTCCGATTTTTTTTTTTTAATCATTCACGTCCGTGAAATGAGCTTGAGCTAACAAGGTTTAAGAATAATGAGAATAATCATCAAAACACGTTAGTGAGTCATCCTCCTTGATCTTCTGGCAACACAGCGTTATCACGGACAACTTTAAGCTCTTTTCAAACAACAATAACATCAAACTTAATCAATATATTTAACATTTACTCCATGCGGTTTCCTAAAGACTGCACTTACGCTCATCTCGTTCTTTTTTTTTTTTTTTTCCTTCCCGCTTCTTCCTCATTTCTACTTTGGGTTTTTAGACCCATCGCTGAACACAATGCGCCACCTTGTGGCGGAACATACGCTACTACATACAATATCTACTACATCTACTACGTATCACAACACCTCAAATCAATATACTACATGTTAAATTTATGGGGGCTACACACAGTTACTGTGCTCCTCACACAGGATACACGAAACATATTTTGGTAAATACGATTGAAACAGGAACTTTGTTTGAATAACCTCCACGGAACTCCTTTGTCACTTGGGTTTATAGTTTTACTTTAAGGGGCCATTATGGCATATATCCATAGCCTAGCAATGGTGGCTACATAGATACCACATGGAGAACTGAGCCTGAACTACAACTACAAATCAAAACTTTGCATGAAGCATAAATCCAACTTGATTAATGTTTCAAAAACATTTGTCTGGTCTGTGAGAGCCACTTGCCTGGACTCCTGAGAACTCCTTTTTATTCTACTAAGAGCATATAACATGTTTTCTACGGAGTAAAAACAACCACAGTTTTAACCAACAGTCACCTAGTGCTTCCTTTTAGGCATCACAGGAAGCACAGTGGTGGCTCTGCAGAAGAGAATCATTGGAGGTCAACCATGTGAGCGCCAGTACCACGTCAAACTTAAAAGAGTTGCTGCTGGTGGATCATCCAACATGTGTGGCGGCTCTCTGATCAGTGACCGGTGGATTTTGACTGCAGCGCACTGTTTGAAGCCAGGAAGGTGATAAAAGTAACGCTTAAAATACTGTAACATCAAACATATACAGACTAAAACACAGGTTATACACACTAATATTCGTGTTTTGGTATTCTTGAGAAGAAAAAATAAAGATAAAAGAGAGAAATGTGTTTTTCTTTAACCTCTTCCTGCATATAGAACTATGTTTGCAGGTTTAGGTGTGCATCCAGAAGTGCAAATCACAGCAGAACCAGTGAACTATACAGACAAAGACAACAGGTTCCATGATATCATGCTGCTGCAGCTACCTGAGCCCACTAAGATTCAACCTGTAGCTCTTCCTGACTGTGAATATTATCCTAAAATGTGAGTTGAGTCACTCCCAAGTTATCAAATGCTGCTGCTTGGTCAAAATATGACACTGCTTGTATTCCTCTAGCATCATTTCTGGACACGCCCATGGTCAAACAAACAAAGGACTCTGACCCAGGAATCCAAAAGAAAACAATTTCTTTGTAGTAAAGGATGTATGTTACTACGTTGGTAACTTGACCGTAGAGCCCTGCGTGTTCAGGTATGATGCTATAGGGATACGATGCACCATTGATCCCACTTTTCAACAGTAGAAGCGTGAATGATTGCATCAAATGCTTTATGTTGATACTTTCCAGGGTTAAGATCGCAGGTCACGCTGCCACTACTGGAGGCCCAAATGATGAGAGGAGTGAGATTATTTTTGATCAGTTTAATGAAGTGAATGATCATGAATCATATTCACAGCAGAGCAATTTATACTTTTTGGAATTGTTATGTATTCGGTATTTACTCAGCCAATGTGCTGAGCATGTTTAATTTCTATTCTACTGCAGTTCTGCATGAAATAAAATATATAAACAAAATACTTTATATTGTTCATTATCATTTCTTTAAACAAGTTCAGTTCATAAACGTTGTTGCTCTTCTTCTATAGTACCCAGTTCATCCCCTACTC